GGAGCCACTTTTGCTTTTGCTATTAGTACGTGGCTTGTGGTCACCGGGTCGCTTTGTGTGCGAACATATACAGTTGCGCAATATGCCCTTTCAGAAGCGTTTGTATCTCTTATTGTATTGTATTGTCAGATTTGTATATGTGAGATATCATTTAGATTGCTCGCAATCTGGGACCACTTTTCTAAACGAAGTGGTTTTACTTGTTCGTCCCAGTCGGTTCCATCTATCCATAATTCTTGTATTAGGATTTTGGCTTGTATTATAATTGGCGAAAGCCATGTCCGTCTGACCGCCCGTCCGTCCGTCTGTATATATGCGAACTAGTCCTTTAGTTTTTGAGATATCGATCTGAAATTTTGAACAAGTCTTTTTTTTACCAAGAATCTGCTCATTTGTCGGAACGGCCGATATCGGACCACTATAGCATATAACGAGTTTTCTGGTAAAGCGGCGGTGCATATATTTACCAGTATTGGGTCCCAGCTGTCTGTGGGAATATTTGTGTCGATAGAACCGACAAGCAATTAGAAACAGTGGATTGCAGTTTTTTGTTTCCTTTTGAATCTTAGGCAAGTTCATTAATATCGTTACTTGCTTATCAACCAATATTCTCTCATTTTCATATCTAGATTTAAGAGCTTCCCAAGCCAAATTGAAATTATCGTCATTTAGTGCGAACTGTTTTACTATTACGGGTGCTTGACCTTTTGTTTTGTATCGGAGGTGATACAATTTTTGTGCATTTGATAATTTGGGTGGACATGTAAACATTTCCCGGCAGAACGGCCATTGCTCATAACCACCATAAAATATGTCAGTGTCACATGCGGGCACCTTGATATGGATGCCTGAACTTGCCTCTTGACTTTGTACTTGTGGCAGTTCTTCTCGCTGATGTGGAGTAGGTGCAATTGCTTTTATTAGTTTTAGTTGATCAGAAATCATTGCTTTAGTTTCTTCGAACTGGTCTAAGCAGTTTTTATATTTGGCGTAAGCCGAGGACTTAAAATTTTCTGGAAGATCTGAGTCGTCAGATTCTACTATGGCGTCATATGAAACTTGGAGACGTATCCAAGAATCGTCAAGATTTTCCTTTTTGATTTCTAATGCCGATTCAGAATTATTTTGAATCGGAGAAGATAAAAATCGAGTGCAGTATCTTGTTAAACTGCCACTCTCAGCAATGAATTTACTGTCTGTAATGTCTTTCCCCCTGTTTTGTTTTATAGCACCTTGCTTTGAGCGTGTAGCTTCTGCAGGTGTACATGGACTTTTTTCGTCCGAAATTATTTTTGGTACTTTTATCACATTTGGTACTTGCGTGCGGTGTGTGGGTGTTCTGCTGTTTCCAGGTGTGGTGTGTGTGCCATTCTTGTCTTGTGTGCGGTGTGTCTGAGTTCTTCGGGGCGGCCTTACATAGCAGCATGGGTAAAAAGGTGGGGCCACCTCTATAGGAATGTTGCTAATACTTTATAAATTTTATTAACAAAGCGATTCAAATATTTTGTAAAAGTCTTCCTTATATTGGAAAATTGATGACATTCAATAAGTTGTATGGAGTAAAACGGGTCTCAAAATTTGTATCGTAAACGTGTCTGTAAAATTATAAAACCGAACTTACAAGAATCTATTGCAAATTAAAAAAAAACTACATGCTTGTCAGAAATTTTAAATACCAAATAAAGCAAATGTAACAAAATAAAAGAGAAAAAAAACGATGGATTGATACTCTGTCTTGTCGACTTTCTTACACGTCTTTTACTGCATTGAGTGATGAAACCCGCATCCAATGGTGTTGCGGTATCTCTAAAATTGGACATGCCGTATTCTTTATGTATTGTAACTTTAGAATATACTGCACAAATATCGTTCTATCTCCATAAGGAAAAGCGTTAGTTGATCAGTTGATCATCAGCAACCACTCGGAACTTCTTTGAAATTTTCGCTTTCATTTGTAATAGTTCGGACTTACATGACTGGTAATGGGGAAATCATCTACAAATACTGCTATTATATTGCGTACCTTGCTATGATTATTGATGTAAAAACACGGGCGTGGGCGTGGTGAAAAACCAATGTCTCGAAGAACTACGACTAGCTTTGAGTTCCATTCTCGACCACTTTGTTTTAATCCGTACAAGGATTTCTTCAGCTTTAAAACTCTATCCGGATAACTGCTGTCTACAAAGCTCTCTGGTTGCTTCATGGTTTATCATCACTTAACTCACTGTTGAGATATGCCGTTTATACGTTTGATGTATATGGAGACGATGCTCCACTGCCAATGCCATTACCATCCGAATAGTAGCGTACCTAACTGCAGGCGAGAACGTTTCGTATTCATTGACACCAATACGTTGGATACACCATTTAGCTACTAAACGGGACTTAAAACGTTGTACGCTGCCGACTTTGTTACGCTTTACTTTCGGCGCATGTTTCACCCACAAAATTGGGTACTATTTTGCCGAATTTCGAACCTTATACTGTTTTTTTGATTGACATATATTTTCAACAATTGAAGTTAACGTGCCCAAAACGATTGTGCCATTTAATTGCATTATTTAAGGCATCCTTTGAAACTGTTGAACGCTTTCAAATCCGGTACGTACAGTGCATTTTCTAGAGTAATCGCTGTATCTAAAATATTAACGTCACCGCGCCGACCGCAGTTGAGGCACTTCAAATTCTTATTGAACTTGATATTGTTGTTACGCGAACAGTAAGTGGGGTCGCGCTGTTTTTGTCTACTCGCTGAGCGTTTGAATTTGCACATGATCGTGCTTACATTAACACTTCGATAGCACTTTCATGACTTTCTTCTATAGGGCGAAAGGCCTCTTCTAGTAATTTAATTTTTAAAATGGCGAGTGAACTTTTTTGGCAAACTCGATAGCAAAATAATAACTAAAAGCTCATTAGTTATTACAACTTCTACATCTGTGGGTTCTTCCACTAATTTAAAAACTTACTTTGTAGCCGCAGTAGCCCGCTTGTTCATTTTGAGGTGTCAAATTTTCTTATATAATAACACTTTTCGCACTGGTCTTTTTGGCTGATGTATTTCAAGCAATTTATTCCATGCAATAACAGCGCAATCATAATGCTTCACATTATTAATTTGTGAAGGCTTCACGGACAACATTATAAACGCGAGTGCTTTTTCATGTTTATTGTCAAGCGCCGTTTTTTGTTTTGGCGTCATCTCCTCCGATTTCACTTCCCGACCACATACACCTTTCCACAAGTCGGAGTGTATTAGCATGCTTTTCATTTGCACCGGCCATTACGCGTAATTGGACCCGCTCAATTTTGCTGTTCAAAATTAGTTTTTTTTCTTTCGATTGATATCTGCACCGACATACAGCACACTGATAATTCTGCACCAACGCACCAAATTCAGAAACGATAATATTTTATGCGCACACCGACACGCAGTTTTTGCAACTAAGGAAAACGACAACCTATTGGTTTTAAGCCGTCTTTATTGAAATTTGAAATCGGACTGAATAATAAAGTATAAAGACACAAAAGAGGAGAGGTAACAAAACCAATCTCAGTACTGAAAAAAGGTGTTATACACAATTAGTAATTCATATTTCTGACAGTAATAAATAATAGAACTATTAAAAATATTCAAACAAATAATTGGAATTATTTAAAGAATAATCCCGTTAATAATTTTGAAATTTTAGAATATATTGAAACAACCAATGAATTATTAAAAATAGAAAATATCAAATATATATATATTAGCAAAACAGAATAAAGACAGCAAAATTCATTCAATTTTTATTGTACATAATTTTAACTTTGGGATTGTTTTTATAATGTATATTATATTTAAATTTAAACAATACCTAACCAAACAAAAATATAAAAATGAAAGAAGTTACTTAAAACAATTAAATAAATTAGTTCAAAATAATAGTGAATCCCGATGTTGGGGTTAAAAATTTAATTTTTTCCCGTATTCGGGAAATTCCTAAGCCAAGTCCCGTATTTGGGATTACAAAAAAAATTTAGTTCAAATGTTAATTCAATTCTTTTTTAAATGCATTATTTGCAACCCTGAAGGTAATAGACTTTTTTAATGAAAATTTCAAAACAATTATTGGCCAAAATTATTTGCAACAGCTACAAGCCCGAATAGATAATGAACAACAATATGTAGAAGTGCTGGGGAATAGGATATTTTTTAATAAACTTATTTGTCGTACGCAATCGAAAATATAACCATTATCGAGCGAATTGTAGAGACAAATACTATTAAAATGTTTATCTTCAAGTCTTTAAATCAGAAGAAAAGATAGCTGCAACTAATATTATATTAGAATTTAGTGAACTTTTTTATAAGGAAGGTGATAACCTTTCTCCTACAAACGTAGTCAAACAAAATATTAACACCACAGGTGATAAATCCCTATTCTCAGAAACGTATGGATATTCATATATTCACTAGAAGAAATTCAAGCGCAAAAAGGAGACGCTGAAAAAAAATTATTCGGGAAAGTAACTCGAATACAACTTTAGTACACCTTTTAGCCATTATGAGTTTGTTCACATGCCGTTTGGGAGCTAAACCTTTCAAGAAGCTAAACATTTCAAAGGTTAATGAATTCGGTTCATGGCAATTTTATAACTAATGGTTGTTTCGTTCACATAGATGACATCTTAGTACAACTATAAATATGTAAAAGGTAAATAATATTCGGCCTTATTCCCGTTTACGCTATAATTTAATTGTCGTTTCCAAGTTGTTGTCGTTGTTATCGTCGTTTCGTTTCTAAATTCGTATTTTTTGAAGTTTTAAATTAAAATTAAGAAAGTATGATAACCCGATTGTATCTGAAGTTGTTATTTGTTGTTTTGCAGAAAATATTTGATCCATTTAGTGAATTTAGGTACAAAAAGACGACAATAATAATAACTCCTACTCGTCTCCGTCGCGACATGGAGGTGCAAATGAATTTTCGAAATGAGTTTTTTCGAAATATTACCTCACAAAGTATCGAAATTCAATGGTTTTATCACCTTTCTTAACCCTTTGGCATACGCAGGAAATTTTTTCATTTCGCACACTAAAATTCACGTCAAGTAATCGCGTTCGTTTTTATTTGGCTCTCAATTACTACAACGACAAGGAACGAATGTTCCCATGTCGTTACCATATTCGTTTCAAAATGGGGAATTCAAAATTATTTTCGATAAATGTCGATAACGTCAATAGGAATGCCAAATAGTCATTCTTATTTCGTTTTAAAACAACCACAACAACAACGGGAATATGACCGATTGTTTCAAATAATGCAAAAGTAAATAAATGAAAATAAGATATTTTTCAAATTCGTTTTCTTGCATGCTGTGCTGCCTTATTTTATGACGGGTTTTAGGGACTCTTTAACCAATTATGTTGTTTGTGAAAAACATT